GGTGTTCACCCGTACGGAATAGTCTTGCGCTTTCTTCTGTGTATAATTTCGCTCTGTGTAATAAGAGAGCTGCTTGACAGGCCGGAGCCATGAGGGAATTAACAGACCTTTGTGACTCTAAGATTCATTATTATCATCACTGCTATTATCATCATTATTATTATTGTTTTCATTATTATCATTATTATTGTTTTCATTATTATCATTATTATTGTTTTCATTATTATCATTATTATTATTATCATCATCAATATTATTGTTATTATTACTATCATGTCATTATCATCATTATATATTTTTTTATTACTAATGTTATTATCATCATCATTGTTATCATCATCATTATTATTATTATTATTATTATTATCATTATCATTATCATTATCATTATCATCATCATTATTATCATTATTATTATTATCATAATTATTATTATAGTTATCAGTATTACTATATTTCTCATTATTACTATCATTATTATCATTATTGTTATCAATATCGTTATCATTATCATTATCATTATTACAATTATTGTTATTATTATCATTATTATTATTATAATAATAATTATATTATTATTATTATTATTATTATTATTATTATTATCATTATTATTATTATTGTTATTGTTATTACTATTAATGTTATTACTATTGCTATTGTTATTGTTGTTAACATCATTATTATTACTTACATTATCATTAGTATTATTATCTTTGTTATCATCATTGTTATTATTATTGTTATCATTATTATTATCATTTCATTATCATTATTACCATTATTATTATGATTATTATCGTTATTATTATCATTATCATTATCGTTATTATTATTATTATTATGTTTTTGACGGCGTTGGTTTGTTGGTTAGTTTGTTTGTTAACAGCCTAGCTCAAAAAGTGCTGGCCGGATTTCATCGAATTTTTGGGGACAAGTCAGAAAGGGACTAACTTAGAACTGATTAAATTTTGGTGACATTCCGTATTACCGTCTGGTTATTATTATTATTATCATTAATTAATCAATAAAGTACACAAATCTACGGTAAACGTGTACCACATTCCACTGACATTCCGAATTACCGTCTGGACGCAGCAGCGGTGTAAGTACATTATATACATTGGTGCAGACCTCCTTGGCGGAGGTCTGCACTCTCTGAGTGCTTTTCTAGTTATTATTATTATTACTGTTAATGTTATTACTACTAATATCATTACTATTGCTATTACTATTGTTGTTAATATTACTATTATTATCATCATTATGGTCATTATTCTTACTATTGTCATTATTCTATTATCACTGTTATCATTATCAACATTATTATCTTTATCAACATAATTACCATTATCATTATTATTATCATTATTATCCTCATCCTCATCATCATTATAATTATCATTAGTATTAACATCATTATTATTGCTATTGTCTTTATCATTATTATTATCACCATTATGGCTATTATTCTTACTATTATCATTATTTTATTATATTATCATTTTCTGCATAATTAGCATTATCGTTATCATTATTATCATTAATATCATCATCATCTCATCATCATCATTATCATCTTTATCATCATCATCATCATCGTCATCATCATCATCCTCATCCTCATCATCATCATCAATATTCATCATCATTATCATTATCGCTACTATCATCATCATCACCATTATTATTGCAATTATCTTTACACATTATCATTATCATCATTATTATATCAACACAACGTAAATACCAACCAAGTCACTACCAACATCAAGTGCCATCGCCGCCCTCGGCTCTCCTTCTCACCCCCGCCCTTCTCCCCACAGCGCCCCTGCCGCCAGTGCCTCGCCATGAGAGGATCCGCCGTCGTGGTGGCCGCCCTGGTCACGCTGCAGCTCGCCTCCTGCGCGGCTCTCTACCCTGGTGAGTCTCCGGGCGCGGGGAGCGAAGCGGGTGGGAAGTGGTCTTAGGGAAGGATTGTTCATAGAAATGAGAGAGAGAGAGAGAGAGAGAGAGAGAGAGAGAGAGAGAGAGAGAGAGAGAGAGAGAGAGAGAGAGAGAGAGAGAGAGAGACAGGGAGAGAGAGAGAGAAGGGGGAGGGGGGATGGGAGGGAGACGGAGAGAGAAGGAGGAGAGAGAGAATCGTGGTGGCCGCCCTGGTCACGCTGCAGCTCGCCTCCTGCGCGGCTCTCTACCCTGGTGAGTCTCCGGGCGCGGGGAGGGAAGCGGGGCACACAGATGTTGGTCTGAGGGAAGGGTTGTTGTCTGAGGGAAGGGTTGTTGAGAGAGAGGGAGAGAGGGAGGGAGAGGGAGGGAGGGGGAGGGAGAGGGAGAGGGAGAGGGAGGGAGGGAAGGAGGGAGGGAGAGGGAGAGGGAGGGGGAGGGAGGGAAGGAGGGAGGGAGAGGGAGAGAGGGAGATGGAGAGGGAGGGAGGGAGAGGGAGAGGGAGGGAGGGAGGGAGAGGGAGAGGGAGAGGGAGAAAGGGAGAGGGAGAGGAAGAGGGAGAGGGAGAAGGAGAGGGAGAGGGAGAAGGAGAGGGAGAGGGAAAGGGAGAAGGAGAGGGAGAGGGAGAAGAAGGAGAAGGAGAAGGAGAAGGAGAAGGAGTGGGAGAGGGAGAGGGAGAGGAAGGAGAGGGAGAAGGAGAGGGAGGGAGGGAAGGAGGGAGGGAGGGAAGGAGAGGGAGGGAGGGAGGGAGAGGAAGGGAGGGGGAAGGGAGACGGAGGGAGAAGGAGAAGGGACAGAGGGAAAGAGAGAGACAGAGAGAGAGAGATAGATAGATAGAGAGTGAGACAGACAGAGAGAGAGAGAGTGAGAGAGAGAGAGAGAGAGAGAGAGAGAGAGAGAGAGAGAGAGAGAGAGAGAGAGAGAGAGAGAGAGAGAGAGAGAAAGAGAGGGGGGAGACGGAGAGAGAAGAAGAAGAAGAGAGAGAGAGAGAGAGAGAAAGAGAGGGGGGAGACGGAGAGAGAAGAAGAAGAAGAAGAAGAGAGAGAGAGAGAGAGAGAGAGAGAGAGAGAGGAGAGAGAGAGAGAGAGAGAGAGAAAAGGGAGACGAAGAGAGAAGGAGAAGAGAGAGAGAGAGAGAGAGAGAGAGAAGAGAGAGAGAGAGAGAGAGAGAGAGAGAGAGAGGGAGAGAGAGAGAGAGAGAGAGAGAGAGAGAGAGAGAGAGAGATGAGAGAGAGAGAGAGAGAGAAAGAGAGAGATAACGTTGGTCGATTTTCCGATGAAACGAAAATAAAAGGATGAAGCAAAAGAAGCGATATCACGCCCAATGCGATTCACGATCAAAAACAATGACACGTCCAGATAATGCCTTCGATAATACCATGTCGATTGCGTTTACGTGCTTGTGTGTTTGATTAGTCTTATGGTTTTGCATTTAAGTTGTAATTCATGTTTAATTTATTTTTCATACTGTACCAGCCCATTTTATATGATCTGATACGTCCTGTAGATAAGGATGTTATAAATTAACTAAATAACATGTGAATAAATGTAAGTAAAACACCACCTACCTTTCCCCTGTGCATCCTCTCCCCCAGATACTTTCTACCGTAAGCTGCGGCTCAGCAATAGCCACAGGAACCTGGTCAAGAACGCCCGCACGATGACCCTCGACCCACCCGCAGCTCTTGGCACTGAGTCCGGGTGAGATTTTCCTAGTTTTGCCGCCCGTGTTTTCCTGTCCTACATTTTTTTGTGTTCATTTCTTTTCAGCTTGCCCTTCGTAAAGACTTCACGGGTATTTTGCCTTCGCTACTTTCCTTCCCTCTTTTCCCTCTCACTCCATCACCTGAGCTTGCTTCTCTCACCGGCACTATCCTCCCGTAAGTGACCAAGCGGGGGATTCTGTTTCCGCTGTTTCCCTTCCCTCCTGGTCCGGGCTTCCTCCTCTCAGGCCGCCGCCTCCGCCCTCCCCCTCACCAGGCTTCCCTCCCGCCAGAGCCCCGGTTCCCGGCCTCTCTGCGCTCGCGACCTTTCCCCAGTCCGCGATAGCAATTGTGGGATGAAAAAGAAAAAAAAATCTGCAATCTATTCAAACTCATTTGACTAAATGTAATACAATATTTTTTGAAGTAATGTGTTCATCGCATGATCCTCATATGGGTACTCCGCGACCCCCTTGAGAACCTGTTCAACAGAGATATAAGCACGGGGTTTTGCCTTGACAGTTTCCTTCCCTTCATTTCCGTTCCTTCTCCTTTCACTTCAACGCCCTTGCCACGTCCCCAGCAGAGATTTTGCCCCCTCTATTCTTCTCCCTTCATTTCCACTCCTCTTACTCCAGCACCTCTGGACCGCCTGTTCTTCTCATGTAGTTTGGTGTTTCTCTACGATGCTTGAAGGTGATGAAAACACCGATGAAAACTAAAGTACGTTCAGTGGAGATCAGCTCTGACAAAAATAATATGGAACTCTTCATGTTCCTCTGCCCCATACGCCAGGCTCCGCCAGGGAGTGTCGCTGCCAAACGTGTGACTGCAGAGACAAATAAAATATTGGACTCTATAAATAGTACAGAGAACCTCATTCTTTCATATAGGTGATATGCTACACAGCAATATAAACTAAAAATAATCGATATTTCACATGGCGTAACATATCACACAAAAGACAGTTTGTATGATATAATCACATAATCATCACAATAGACGTACGATAATACTGGCATCACAACCCGTATGCAATGGCATCATAACGTGGCACTCACAACTTCATTATCACGACCCACACCGCTAGTCCCTCCTTCCATCCCTCCCTACCTAAGTGCAATACCCCCCCCCCCCAATCATCACCCACTCCTCGCATCTTGTTTTCCCTCGACCATCTTCCCTCTTGCTCTTGTGTCCTTTGGTCAGCTGACGCCATCACTTTCATATCTGCTCTGTTTACATTCTTCTTTACACTTCACTCTGTGATGCATATACTTGATCTATATCCATACGTGATTTACTTGCGATTTATTTGAGTATGTATAGAAACCTCTTCGTACACATCCTTTACTTCCTGACTGTTGATTTCTTTAAATAATTTCTTTTAATTTTTCCGCAGTGAGACTGAGGGCCGTCAGCTTGATGGCGAGCCTGACGCGAGCACGGACGCCCCGGCCGAGGCTGACACGGAGGCGCCGGAAGAAGCCACGGAGGCGCCAGGTGAGTCTCTGGCGCCGCAGGATTTCGCTGCCTTGTCAGATTTTGTCTTCAGTTTCTCTTGTAAAAATCCGTCTGTGGATATCGTCTCCGTTGTTTATGGATTTCTGCAATGGCATTTACTTTCTTAGATTAATCACAATGCACACACACACACACACACACACACACACGCACACACACACGCATACACACACACACACACACACACACACATACACACACACACACACGCACACACACACACGCATACACACGCACACACACACACACACACACACACACACACACACACACACACACACACACACACACACACACACACACACACACACACACACATGCACACACACACACACACACACACACACACACACACACACACACACACACACACACACACACACACACACATACACACACACACATATATATATATACACATATAGAGAGTAATATGCCCCAAAGAATCTTAAATTATCACAACTTATTAAAGAGCTCAAGTAAGGGACATACACTGTCAAACATTTTGCAGGTTTCTGGCTTGTCTGTTTGGCGATTGTTGAACTTCCGTCGTACTAATCCGCTCCTTTGCCCTCGCTCTCATTACTGGGTCCTCTGCCCCGCAGTGGTGTGCGGAGGTGAGGTCCCGACGCTTCTCGAGACCGGCGAGGTAAGAGAGGACAAACTGCTCATTAACACGACTGTGGAGACTCCCGGCTACGGCGGGGAGGGCTACCCGGCAGACCTCGAGTGCATCTGGAACGTCAATGTAAGTACCGAAGACGCATGACTGAAGTATGGTACACACACACACACACACACACACACACACACACACACACACACACACACATGTATGCATGTGTCGTTGTTGTTACATTTGCTAGTCATGCATGTGATGAGGAATGTGGGATGACTAGCCCGGGTTACGCTTATGCCACTCGGGAAGAGTAACTCTGAAGGTGTTGATGATATCTATCTGGCGGGATAGGAATGTTTTTTTTTTATTAAATAAAAATCAACTATTCGCCTTAGAGGAAAGGCACTGGTAAGGATTTGGAGCTGTATATTCGAAGTGGCTTTGATCTCTTCGGTCGGTGCTGTGGTACTGCTAAGGTCGCAACTGCTGCGTACTAGGGCAGTCCAGAATGTAGTGGATCAGAGGTTCATGTATGATTGTGCCCATGCTTGCATCTATGAGCATCCACTCCCGCAGGTTGAGAGCGGCTGTGCGCTGGGATTCGTGATCTGGAATATAGATTCCGGCCACATCCGCCCGACCAGGGGCTGCTCGGACGACTTCGTGGAGATGGGCTTTGACGGAGCCTACACCGAAAAGTAAGTCTAACTTGGAGCCTGTCGCCCTCAACGCTTTAATTTCACAGGCTAGCATGCTTCGCCTGCTAGCCTGTGAAATTATGATGACCAGCAAGTAGAGTGATTTAAGAATTTGGATGGAATTGTACAGTAAACTTTACGTTCATTACGTAATTGCAAACAGGTCTGTAAGTAAAGTAATCATAGGATTCCTGGTATGTACCATTGTTAGCTCTCAAGATGGCAGCTGAAATTAATATTGGCCCTCGAAGGATTTTGTTTTGACACCTCAAAAGATATATGAGACAATGTAGAGAATATATATTGTTCCTATTTTCTTATTAGTGTGTCTGCGTACACTCATGCTGATATGAATACAGGCAATTCCTTTCTGTGGCATAATGTTTACCGAGAACATGTAAGCAATGCCTGTCCGAAATGTAATAATGATAGCACTTGAGTGACATGTAAATGATCACATAAGCTCACGATATTGTCTTATAATCCTAGGTACTGCGGGACTATAAATGGAAAATCAGGCGTGAAGCTTTGGAGTGAGTCTGTAAATGGCGAACGCTCTCTGAACATTCGTTTTTTGGCCGGAACGCGCAGGGGAAATGCAGGTGGAGGAAAAGGCATCAAGATTTACATCACCGGTAAGTTAACGTAAATTCAACAGGCAAGACCTTCGAGTTATGCTCACACTAAACGAATCGTCAACGAATCGTCAACCATAACCCAGTAGCTTAAAAAACATCTGTTTTACATCCCAATCACAGGTTTCTGCAGTATTTATTCTGATGAGTATGTGGCAGCAGCAGAAGCAACGGCAGAGACGGCGACGGAGGCGGTGGCGGAGGATGCCACGCAGAGGAGTGATCTGGACTTGGACTACAACGAAGACGCAGTCGGGGAAGAGGTGTTCTAGTTCGTTCAAGAGATGATCGACCCTTTCGCTTTCGTTGTCCATCCTTGTCAAGAGAAAAAGAACTCGAGCCTGGTGATACATTGCGAGAAAAAAGGCAAATAGGAAATTGTGGTTTAGTAAATATATATATATATATATATATATATATATATATATATATATATATATATGTATATATATATATATATATATATATATATATATATATATATATATATGTATATGTATATATATATATATATATATATATATATATATATATATATATATATATATATATATACATATATATATATATATATATATATATATATATATATATATATATATATATATACATATATATGTATGTATATATATATGTATATATATATATATATATTTATATATATATATATATATATATATATATATATATATATATATATATATATATATATATATATATATATATATATATATATACACATATATACACACATTTTTTTTTACAAATATAACGTTCACAAACCAGATGGAACCGCGGGCGGAGATATATAACAAAGCCTGTCTGAGAGTTCAGTGTGTCATGTCCAAACTGCCGCTGTGGACGAATATCGCGATAGGTTATAGCGTTAATCATCTGGAACGGAATTAGATTATTATACAATATCATACATTAATTGGCATTAACTAGTACCTGACCCTTATAACCTTCGGCAATAAACTGTATGGGTGTTATCAAGTCTGTAATATAAAGTTGTTCGAGTCACGATTTCTTGAAATATTTACGTTATCAAAAAGGTGTTCTAAAATGTGCAAATGCATGCAAGATGCGCAATAAGGTACATATACACACTAGAACACACACACACACACACCAGGCCTATTTTCACAATTTTACTGATCGCTTTCTTCTTGACTCCATTATCTTGTGTTACAGTTTGGGAGCAAGGGTACCTTTCAGAAATGTGTGTTCTTACAAAATTATTGTTGTTAGCCATTATCCTATAGTAACATGGTTCTCAGTAGTTTTAGCATATCCTTTTATTCAGTATGGTGTAATGTGACTGAGCAAACTGTACTTAAAAATATAGTGATTTTTAGTTTATAATAAAGATATGTTATAAAGGTCTTTTTACTGTTACCTTCGTTATGGAGAGGTGTATAGACATTGCATTAAGAGATGCTAGGGATATCAACTTTTTGCTGAAAAAATCTAAATGACCTCCTAACATATGTAAAGGTTAGTGTCCTCTCCCTGGACAATGCTTCAGCCAAGGAACGGAGACTGCGGGTCACAGAACTTTCCACGTAAATTGTTATTGAGCTGGAGATCTGCTCAGTAGGCATCAATTACTCTCGGAATAAAGCTAACTAATCTCCAATAATTTGGTCCCGAGTTCAATTCCCCGTCGCGGCGGTCGTAAAAATGCTTGCACTCCGACTATTGGTTCGCGCCTGATCTCACGGCGAGAAACCGACATAAGTCAAACGCAGGTGTCGTAGGGGAAGTCGCCGCCGTTGCACAGCAGTTAAGCACACCGAACCGCGGTTGATTAGGAAGAGCATCCAAATAGGTGATCAAGGTGCATAGGCAGCACGATCAGCGGAAGAGCTACGGCGCCAAAGACAATGGTTGCAGAAATGCAAGCAGACTTGGGCTTGAGATAGTGGACTCTTCAATCATCCGAAGGAAGGCAACAGGAAACCACCTTCGTACACTCCCTTGTACAACCATGACATTAAACATGGTCGCCAACGTCAGGCTCTGATACGGCACAGAAAGAAGAATCTCTAATAAACTCAGCTTAACGTCAGGGAAAAGAAGCCTGGCTAAAATCTAGTCCATTACCGGTTTTCGAATGAATCTTTTTCGCTTCAGCGTAAATCTGTATTGAATACTTAAGTCTGAACGCATGTAAAGTGTATTATGTGTGTAATAGTCCTCACACACACAGACACACAGACACACACACACACACACACACACACACACACACACACACACACACACACACACACACACACACACACACACACACACTCACACATGAGTCACCGCACTATGCATGTGGGGGTTTGTGCTTCAGAACTTCCAAGGTCGAACTAAGATAACTTCGGACAAACTTTTTCCATGGCAAATCATATCCGCAACACCTGCTGTCGTTGTAGTCAATGACATTTTCGTCATCGCGGTCACCTGATACTGATAAAAGTATCCTGTGTGGTTATGAGCAGTGCTTCTATAGTTTCGCAATTTACCTTTTGATATTCGAGTCATGAACAGTACCCCTGTCACATCCAGACAAAGGGAGGCTGGGAGACAAACCTCATGGGTCTCCTCTATGAAAGATATCACCATAAAGTTGTTGATACGCTTACAAACTATGCCTCCAACTGACCATAATCGAGATGAACCAAGTCATGAAATCGAAGCCAGATGCATTTATATTTTATTTATATTTACATATCGTTACACTCAAATTTTCCTCTATAGTTTATTCACTTATATCGTTGTTTCAGAGTCGTAGATAAGAAATTAGGAAGGCCGGTGGTAGTGTAGTGACCTGGATTGCAGCCTCCACGTCAAATGACCATCCGAGCGGCATCCGAACGTTTGGCGCCACCGAGATGTTCAAGGATGCCTGTTGCCGTATGCCACGTAGAAGAAATGCCGAACTACGTTATTTCTTGATTTCATTCTTGATTTAATTCTGTTTTATTTCCATTATCTGTCCACGATATAGATACAAAATTCAGATCTACAGTATGTCAAATTGTTTTTAAAATGTCCAGTGCGCATCCCCTGATTCTCATTTGAAGTACCCACAATCCCCCACACCCACGTAAATAGCCAGCGCTAGTTTCCCACAGGGGATTCTGCAGCCTACCTTTGTTCTGAAAGCGCCGCTCTGGACTGTTGATTTTCGAGAACCGGTTGTTTGTCATTACAAAAACCCCCACTGTGAATCGGCCCACCTCAACCTCCGGTCGCCTAAGATAAGTACAAGTGAGGAATTTTAGGATTCAGGAATCATAAGTTTAGGCTGGATACTCTGTTGATTTTCATGGGTTTTATTGTAACGTGGACGGTCTTTTTTTTATTGCTTCGTGTTTTATTATTTCTTTTTAAATAAAGCGTATGTTTTAAATGTATATATTTTATTTTATGCCTTAGGAATATCCATCCTATCCACCATGAATTAAACAGTAATCTAACTTGTACTAAAGTTTTAAATAATGTAGTTAACATAACTATTTGCCCCAGTAAATGAGTGATGCTCGCGCTACCACACGTCACGCTTTGTTTTAACTACATACAAGCTGGGCGCCCTTGTTAGTGAGACGCTACAGCATAATTTGGTGGCTAGCTTGGGGATTCGTAAGAGCGGTTTTTGTTTGTCTTGTGATTTAAGTTCGCAGTATCCAGAGCGGTTTATTTTTTGTGAGAATTATACCTGTAGTTGTTTGTCATTAAAAGCAGGCCTAATGCAGATCCCATTTATTTCAATTAATGTGTTTACCTTATGTATATATATTTCATTACTGTAACAGTTTTTCTTGTTTGCTTTTGGTTGATTGCAAATCACGTGAGCTATATTCGTATGGTTGGTTATTAGTGTTCACTTGATTATTATTTTTTATTGGTGATGCTTTTCGTGATTGTTTAATGCAGTTGTTTGGCGATGTTGTTAGTCGTTTATTAGTGTTGCTGCTGTGATGTATCGATTTTAACGTGGTTTCGCGGTGAACATTGTTCGTTGTAAGTGTTGCTCAGTGAATCTTCTGCTTCGGGTAGTTACGGTTTGTTTAGCGTCTTGTTTTAGCACGTAGGTTACTTCTTTGTTTAATTTTCTTTTCCTGTGCATATATTGCAATACGAAATGCCACCCAAGACGAATTATCGCAGGGGAACTGGCGAAGAAGCCGAGGACATTCCCGAGACGCCCGAGTCGCCGCTGCCGGTGGTGTTGGAGCGCCTTGTAGCGCAGCTTGCGGAGATGCGCCTGGAGTTGCAACAGCAAGGTGAGCGTAGCGCCAAGTTAGAAACTGAGTTACGTGCAGTGCGCGAAGAGAGGGACGCTGAGCGCCGTGAACGGGAAGAACGGGAAGAACGGGAAGCTGAACTGCGGGATAACGAGCGACGAGAGAGGGAACGCCAAGCACAGCAGTTGAGAGAGCAGGAGCAGCGAGAAACAAGTTATCGTAATGCTGAACAGAGTGGATTTTACCGTCAGAATGCCGAGAGACAACGATATTTATCGTCATTCCGGTCGTTTTGAAGCCGCTCACTCGAATCGACGTGATTTTAACGATCTGCACACAGGCGGCGAACACTGTGGAGTTGAAGTGCGCAGCATAGACTCTACAGTAATCAACTGCAGCAACCACAATCATCGTGCTACGCCACCTACGCCATCTCCTCGAAATATGTTTTTGCGTGAACAGTCTGAACAGACTTCTGTACAGCCGATTGTCATCTCTGAGCGCCAGGAACCGATCCCGATATTCTCTGCAAAAACACCTGCGTCTCTTCCTCTGCAACGAAATAACGAAGTGAACACCTGGCTGCGGCAAATCGAGCTGATGGCGCGACCGAACACGGATGCATGGCGAATCACTGCTGCACGCACGCGATGCTCAGGTGATGCCGAACTTATTATCAACTCGGAATTATTTGATGACATCACGTCTTGGTCAGATTTTAGGGCTACAATCAAGCGGAAGTTTGGGGGTACCGCCAGTGCTGCCGAGTTTCTTTCCTTACTCTCCAAGAAGAGGCTGAGAGATCACCAGTCACCTCAAGATCTCTACCAGGAGGTTCAAGGAGCTGTTCTTGCAGGGGCACGTGATTATGCTCGTTCGTTAGGGCCGACAGAAGAACTCGTTCGTCGTACGTTTCTGCAAGGGCTTCCATCTTGGTTGCAGGAAGCAGTTTCTGTCAGAGATCAAGACTTCGTAGAAGATTTAGTTGCTGCCGCTCAACGATGCTGGACTGCTTGTCAACATGCACGACCCCCGAGACCATCTCAGCGATTTGTTGCATATTCCTCGGACAACAATCAAGATCGACATTACCGAGAAGAACCGTCGCCTTTCCATGTAGCTGCTTCCAGCCGAAAT